AAAATCTATTTATACATATCTTTTTCTTGTTTCTACTGTCATAACAATAATAAAATGACACTTCTGATCTGTTCTATAATCAAAAACGGTTACCATTGAGTAAATTGTCATTAACTACGCCTGCAGCCCTTCTAGGGCTACTGCTGATCTTAAGACCAGGTAAAGGAAGAGAGTTGGGCATGGGGTCACCAAGCTCACCCCGTAAACAAAAACCTTGTTCCAAAAACGCTAGCCAGAAAAAAATAATTTAAACCATTTAAACTCTTCCCTGGGAGATAAATGATATATATTTTTAAGAAATATTAAAGATTTCTGAAAACTATTTCAGACGGTGTACTCCCAGCTTCTCATAGACTGATTCTTATGTTTTTGCGATTGAATGTCGGATTTTTGAAAATTACACTTTCTCTATCTAGAGTTAACCAACCATATACAGCTAGTAAAATCCCTGTTGATTGAAGTCTTAGTATATGGATCTGGATGATCCCCCTTGGCTTACTATAACATTACTGTAGTCATTTTGTTTGTTGTAAAATTATTACCTCAGTTAAACCATTAGGTGTTTTTAAGTGACTAATTCTTCAGTTCATTGCAACAGCAACCGAACTCTTGTTTGCTTGCATTAACAAAACGCTGGTAATTACTGAACCTAGGATACCCTTGAGAGGTTATTCGCTGACTTTGACTTCTAAACTTAATGAATTGTTAACTGTTTTTCCTAACAGACTAGTTCTTTTTATATTGCTATGAATTCACTTCAGGATATTCAAAAGCCAGAATACCGGTTATGTTGGGAGAGTGTATTCTTAATAATTAATTAAACCCACATGCATACGATGGATAAGCATACCGGAAAGCGAAGAATGTATGCGTATTTTACGGGCGCTAATCAATACGTGAGTAAAATTATTGTGTTAGGATGAAGACATGCGTTCAATCAAACTGACACATATACATAGTGTGTCTAATGATTTCATGGATTTTTTTTCGAAAGTGGATTATGCAGACTCTAAATGGGAGATTTGCGATCAAAGTTTAAGCTGACAGAGTTTTAAATAACTGTTATCCTAGTCACATACAAAACAGCTGCATTAGGGATGAAAAACTTCCCACATTGAATTTCTATAGTTTACACCAAAATGAAATAAAATTTCTTAAAAGCAAATGAATTTTTTATTAAACAAGTGGGCGAATAGACTACTATAACTATAAGAACTAGACGTTATAATCCTACATTTTAAAATAACTTGAATAAAACCATTTTGAGAGGTTATACAACTTTTATTAACAATCATCATTGGTGAGGAGTATTATTTCTCTATGAATGAATACGTTTCTCATCGTATGTTTCAAGGTGGACCTGCTGGTTTACATTCTCTTTGATTCAGCTCCAGTCACATGTCAAGTGATAGGGGAAATCATCAGGATGTTCTGCTCAACCAGGTCCCACGTGACACTTTTCAAACAGAACATATCTACGATCTTGGGGGTACTGATGCTCTTTATTGCATTTGGATTTGGGTTACTCAGTGTTAAATTTAGAGACGTTAACACTAATTGCTTATTGTGAAGTGAACCAAAATGTTTGTTTTATCCTTTGCATTGATTGTTTAGTATCGATCAAGTTCTATGTTAGCAGTATATGTTCTTCTTTAACCTGCTTTATAATAAAAATTATGAAGAATCGGTGATTTAAATCAACTGTTTTCAAAAGTGAACCACATCAGTACAATAACAATTTGTTACCTATAAGAATAAGCTACATGATTCTTTTCATTTTATGCTTCATACTTAATAAAACCATCATTAAAACTTATTGAATCCAGTTTTCCAATTTGGTATCTGTAGCATGCGTACTAATTGTTTCATACTTATATTTCAAAGTACCTTGTTGTTTGAAGGCACTCGAATCTTTTAACAAAAGGTTTTATGATTAGATATTGTACTTCTTGGGTGAATTGTTAGTGATAATATATATAAAACGATTCATTTGTGGCGTATTCTTTTCATTTACCTTACCGAACAACAAATCGGGAGAAACTATAATGAATGTGAAAATTACCAGTAAATACATGATAATTACACAAAAATGTATCCTAAAATGAGTTCGATAATTTGCCATGCATTTACTAATAATGCAACATTTTATTTACATCTAACAGGGGCAGAATGTCTACATGACACTCAAAACTTCATGTTCGGGATATTGTGAATGCTGATAAGTTTTACCTATGATTTACATCTAAAATACAAAACATAAATGGGCAAATTAACAGCAAACATTTTTTAACGATAGAAATTCTAAGTTGTCCCGTAACTAGGTACTTATATTACTGTCAACATTATGATAGAAATGAAAGTGTTATTTAGGTAAATTAATAAGGATGTATTACTGATTATCAATAATATGGACGGCAATATTCTGTATCAGGCAAACGATTAGTTAAGTTAATTACCGTAGTAAACAAACATCTATTAAACTACTTTACTTAGAGGGAGGGAAAATATTAATAATATGTTTAATACTGATTGTACGTAATGCTGCGGAGTAAACTCGTCCTATCCCACAAGTTATGCGAGTTGACGAAAGTCAGTCGAGCTTTATGTTAATGTTTAATTTCAAGTAATCCATGATACTGCGAGACCATCTTCCATTATTTTCGTTGGATGCATGCTCGGTGGTCAGGAAGTTAACTGTTCGCGCTGGGTTCGGGTTCTCTATAGAGGTCGTGGATACTCACTGCTGACGAGCCCCATACTATGACGAAACGGCCGTCTAGTGTTTCTAGGCTCTCAATGGTGGTCTAGCATTGATTAGTTTATGATTTCAGTGATACTCAAAAACCTCCACGACCCTATACTAAGAATGTCTTGTTCAGCCAATGAGGTGGTACCGTCATATGGTAAAGCCTTATGGCATGCTTTCGTAATAATATTTAACTACAATACGATGTGTAGTGCCTGCACAGCGCTCAACAAAAACTGTCATTTGTGCCCTGTTTACATAAATGAGAGGATCAAATCAAGCGCAGGGAGCATATAAGTTACTCAGGAAATAACTACTTTCCAGTCCACAAGTCGTTATTGTATTATATTTTTCGCAGAAGGATTGAGTCCAAAGTTGAGTTAATTAATAGAATTAGTGTAAAAACCTCAGAATAAGACATGTGTATTAATGAAGTTGATTGTAGTCGAAAGACAAATATTCAGATAAGCACAATGTTTAAAACTACAATGAAAAACGAATGAATAGCCAATCACTACTGACATTTATTCTTACCGGAATAAACAAAACTAGTTGCTTATACAGGATTCGAGCTACATTGAGATACTTTAAAAGAAACATCTCTATTTGCCCTTTTATGGTCATAACTTTAAAAAATACACGCGAACATATAAGTATAACTAGACATGGAGTGGACAAAACAATTATTTTATCTAGATTTACTGAACAGATAATGTAGTAAACCGACGCTGTTTTGAAGACATGAAATCCCGGTCAGTTGAAATTCCACAATAGTTAATCCATAAATTAAGTTCAAATATCTTATGTACAGAGAAATAACAACTGATTCAAATCATTTTCAGCTCTTTTGATCGATCCAAACTGTGTCAATTGTTCTGTATATCAGTGAAACCGTAAGCAGTAGTAAAATGCTGTGAGAAACCATGACCCAGATCTCAAAACACAATGTCTTTGTTGATATAGAGAAGGTGGTAAACTTGAAAGAAACCAAGTCGTAAAAAATAAACATAAAAACGCTATGAGAAACACGCTACAGTGGAAACACTGTAAGAGAGGCATACAATAAAAGCGTTGTATTCTACGGTTCGATTCATATTCCAAACGTTTGATTAACCTCTTTACAAAGGAAGAAAACTAACAGAATATAGAACGCTTTACCGTTAAACTCCGAATAATTATGTTTACTGTTCACGAATGAATGATTTACTTGCATAAAATCAACCTACACTCGAGCATTGTACTGCCTTTAGAATATGTTTGACTGGCATGATGGGACAAAAAGGCAAAATTACATTTCGGTTCATAGTGATTGTCGGTCAACATTAATTTCATTTTTAATTCAATATGGTGATTACCCAGTGAAATATTTTGTTTGATTTCCAGTGTGATGTTTATTTAAGATATGATATTCTTGGTATTGAATCAACGCGAAATATCTTCAGTGTGATAGGCAGCATACGACTTTGTAATAATTTGGTCATTTTTCATATATATGACATTTTCCTAATAAATAATCAAATACATGTACCAATCAATAAATAAATGAGTGCATTTCCGACTAGGGTCGTCGTAATCATTTAGTCAATAAATCTTCACTTGTACCAGTTTCTTTTGTGTTCTTACTTCGTATCGTGGGAATTGTAGTTTCCTCGTTTTCAAGTATAAATAGTAAGCGACGCGGATATAAAACTGGCCTGTCTACTTTTGTTTGGTATATCACACAAAAGCGTATTCCAAGAAGCTTTCTTTAATTAATTGGATTTGATACGGTGGGCCCCAACAATTTAGTTGATGTAAACTCAACCCATATACTTGAATTCAAATAACACCCATATATTGTTCGATATACTTCTTAATCAGTCCCCATAAAGTGCATACGAAACTAATACTTCAATTAGTATTTCAAAAAGAATACTAACTACATTAAACATTTAAAGTTGAAATTTATCATTACGTAAATCATAACCAATAAGCCGTAGCACAGTCTTGCCTAAAAAAGCGACTAAATGTACAAGTTTGATTATAAATCGTGTAAATAATGTGTAACAAAAGATAAGAAAACAAGAATGGCAGAAAGACTGACAGACGGTCGTTGATCCACAACAACAAATGTTTCAATCAATAAAACTATGATAATGAAAAACAAACCAATTTAACAAACATAATGAACGAAGAACATCTGTGAACGAAAAAAAAACGTAAAAATGCAAAAACAACAGTATCGTAGCGACTACGTGCAAAGTAGTTTATAAATTAGAATATAAGTTATAATCAATACATGAGGATTATGAAAGATATTAAGATAGGTGAAGTAAATCCACGGATTTATGAATTGAATAAAGTGTTAGTGGAATGATGTAAAATACCGGCAAAATGGAATAAGAACTTACCTCAAAGTTAGAGCACAATCTCAATGGAATAATTATATATCTTTGTTGTCTGATGCAAGTAAGAAAATATCAGAATTTTCAAAAATATACACATTTTTAGGTAATGATTTTTCTTGCTGTACAGATAAATCAGTTTTTAATTTTGAACTAAATGGAGCATTAGCCATAGCCTTTGCAAGGATATCAATTGGTGTTGTTAATAATGTAGGTGCAAGATATGCGAAAGGTTTCAATAAAATTTGAAAAGCTCTTTCCGCTAGTCGTGATTCAACACGTGAACATAATAAAGTAGCTGGACGATAAATTGCAAGACATTTAGGAAATAAATTAAGTGATATTAAATCTGATTCTGTTTCACCTTTAAGTTGAAGATAAAAAAAGATACTTGTTTTATTTGCTGCCTGGACAAAAACAACAGAAAAAATATATTACAAAACATTAATAGAAAGACAAGATAAACTTAGATAAATAGTCATTTCTAAACAAAAAATGAGGAAAACTTTTGTTGAGATTATAATGAAATTAAGAATGAATAATATATTTGACTGTCAACTAACGAGTGGTGAGTTTGAAAGTTATTTTCCATGTACTTCATTTGTGAAGTGTGAAGTCTGGTGATACTATCCGGTTGCCTAGACTGAAGTAGATGGAGTGGAGTTCAGAACTGGGACTTTATGATCGAAAGTTGAACAGCTTAACCACTGTCCCAATTCGTTTATAGGCAGTCATAACCTCTCCTAATAATTATGTACAACTGAAAAATATTCAAGTTATAACTAGCTATAGTAGTACTAGCTACTTTCGACAATCATTAAGATCAATACTTAAAATATCAGAATAATTGAGAAAAGGTTTATCGACCATAGAGAAGGACGTGTTTGAGGCACTTTTTATATACTGTTAAATGTCAGGTGTGCAATAATAAAGTACGGGAAAACTATCAATTCACATTGGACTAATTATCCAAAATTAGTTATATTTATTCCTCATACATATACAGGTTCAAATTTACCTTTTCACAATTAAAATATAGCATTTTTTCACACTCACTAGGGTATACACATATACACACAATTATATCGTAAACATAATTTTGATCGGAAAATGACGTTGACATGGACAGACTTATTTTGATTGTACTGTGTATTCTATTTTTCCCCTTTGTACCATTTGAAGTTGTGTTAATTTAATTCGGCTATTCAATTTATTCACTGAAGAAATAACTTGCACTAAGACTTGAAACATCAGGAATTTAATTTTCTACTAATTAGAACATTACATATACATTATTTTATAATCAAAAGCTGTATATCGTGTAGCTTCAAACATTAAACATAATGTACACAAGATTTCATATTACAAGGCAAGCTATAGTTGACTAAATTATTAAGGACCTATTGAATAACACACAACTAATGAATATCGTTTTTAGCATCATAATACCGTAACAATTCCGATTACTACATTCATTTACAAAAACTCATTTAGTTATCTGGATGAATTAGATGATAATAATCAATGATATTCGATTGTGTCATCATTGGACTACTCTGAGACTTATATCACGTTCAAACTAGCTCCTTGATAAAACGAGCACCTACATTTAGAAATTCTCTCTTCATTGTTAAATGAATAGTTGAAAGCAAAAACATATCAATAATATACGGAAAAGTGGGATTACATAAAAATGATTCTGGTAAGATTTATGTTTGGTAGAACAATTAAAGTATTGAAGAGTTGATATAATTTAAAAATATTGAAACATTGGGGGAAAAATGCCCAAACCAAAGTGGAAGAAATTTTTAAGTACATACAAACATACTAAATTTGGAGAACCATAAGAAACAATCAAAACTATAAAAACCGAATCAACTTTGAACAGTATTCCTCAGTTAACCTGTCTTAATAACAGATCACTACTTAGATATAACGTAGAACTTTTAACAATACAAATCTGCTGTGCGTTATACAAAGTAACACAAGAAAGTCAACAGAAATTAAAGGATATCTGGAAAATCAGGGAAAGTAAGCAAATTAGAATAAGATGTTCCAGGTCTAAAAGAGAAAACAAAATATTAGATGGTGGTTGGAGGTAGTTGACAGGAAACCTTGGACCCAGATTCCGTACTACTTGGCACTCGTCAGCAAGGTGTACCTGTAGTTTTAAGGGAACTGGCGCTCTTTGACGGATTCGATCCCGTGTCACCCAGTGGTAACATCTCTGACTGTGAAGCTGGGTGACACGGGATCGAATCCGTCAAAGAGCACCAGTTCCCTTAAAACTACAGGTACACCTTGCTGACGAGTGCCAAGTAGTACGAAATCTGAGTCCAGGGTTTTCTGTCAACTACCTCCAACCACCATCTAATCTCACAATAGTGCACGCAGTGTCGAGTCACCTAGGCTGGTGGCCACATTGCATCATGGTCGATAGCGTTCGATCTGCACTAATAAAGACATGACACACATGACATTAGTCACCACCCAGTGATCAACCAATTGTGAGAAACCAAAATATATTTAAGTTATTGTGATCATCTTCGAGTTCATAACCATAGTGTTCAAAAAAGTCTACAGTTTAAGGATGTAAATGAGAAAACATTCATTTAACAGTGACTAAACTTAACAGAATGACCACGCAGTTTCCTTATTAGGTCGAAAAAAATCACCAGAACATACGGAACTAAAACCCTTTAACGAATGAAATGTGTACGAACCTATTCCAGCTACTGAAATATCATGATGATAAATACTAATGCTATCCACTGTCATGTTGATCAGAAAGTCAGGTCAATGACTCAAGGAACGTTCAACAATTTGACCCATTGATTTGGTTCAGCGACACGAGTCACGGCAAAATTACGTTACTGTTTGTCCGCTCACCTGCCTACCGATATTAAGTGAAGTACGATCATTTACGAGAAATAAATAACTAGTTTTATTTGCCGTCAGAAGTCCTAAGTCACTTGTACTGGTATTTAGCAATAACTACATAAGAAATGAAGCGATAAAAAATTAACAATATATTTTGTCGAAATTTTGCATGTCTCAAAATTCACGACTTACTTTTGAACTGACAAGATGAAATTCTTTACAGCCAGCTGCAGAACTTAACTTTGCAATATGAATTACATAGTCATGGTCTATTATCCTCATTTTTTCCTTTCCTGATTTTTTTAAGGTTGTCCCAAAGGCACAAAAACCCACATCAGTATCTTGAAATACTTCTTGATAGTCATCTAAATGGTCGAAATCTATAATGATCTGAGTGAAACGATTTTCAGAATCTTTGTTTTCAAAACCATAATCAACATCTGTTTTACGCCTTTGAATTAATTTGATAGAACTGTATCTTGTATCTTTAGCTAAGGCTTTGATTAATGCTTTTCCTGTTTCGCCAGTACTACCAACAATGAAAGCTCGCAAATTAGCCATATATTTTGGTATATTATTCTAACAGCAAGGGGTTTCCAAGGTCTTCGACCAATATTAGTACAGTTGAGTGATTAAGAACAAGTGATGATAGTACAATCTTAATACACAATTAACTAATGTACCGAAGAACACCAGATACTGAATTGTAGAATAAAATATAAAACAACAAACAATAATATAGAAATAGATTGAACATTTGTTTGTGGGTAGATTTATTTTACAAACAAAAAACATCACTCATACGATTTCGCAAGATATGCTATTAACATATAAGATTTCTATTAGCTTGGATATTGAGAGCAGCTATACATTTCCTTAATCAAACAGTCATAAAGGACGAAGAGTATAGTATGAATATTTGTTAATCAGTATCAGCTTTATAGATAAAGGGTTCAGCATTTGAACACTAAGTCCTGAGATTGAACGCTGCTCAACAAACATCGTATTGAGCGACCGGGTAGAATAATTAGCTCTCAAGAAATGTGTGACGAGAATTCACGAATTAACTTCCAAGTAAAGCATAACTAGTAGGTAATTCTGGTCTCATAACTTAATTATAGAAGAAACCCATAGTTTTACAAGTCTGTTCTCCATATCTTCTTGCTGACGACACGTTTTCAGTTTTCAATACCTCCAGTTGATAGGGGAAGGAAACAGATAATAATCCGGTGCCACCAGGTACACTATTGAAGGACGGATTTATTAATGGTAGCAATAACAGTTTTACCTATATTCCTATTCACAAAGAAATCTCATATTTGGCGAGGCCTTAGTAAATCAAGTACATAATGTCCAAAGGGAAATCAGACACTATGTTAATGTTTAATATCCAAAAGTCAGATTCTCAATGATGATGAATAGCTTGACTCTTTAGGTAAAAACCTTAATCAGCCCACAAAGTACATTTGCCATCATACCGTTAAGACGACGTCCCCTAACTACACACCTACCATAACTAACAGTTAACTCAAACTTCAGAATAAGCCGGCGAGTCAAGTATGACGGTGACTGATTCGACAGAAACATAACTGTTAGACGTTTGACCATAAAGCTCAAGGTTTCCCTACTGTATATATTTGGAAATCGTAAATGAAATCATCCGACTGAAGTTTGAAGGATTATTATAAACACTATAAACACCGGTCATGAAGGTATCATCAATCCCACAAGGAACAATTGAGCCTAATTGTTCATTCGAATTGCTATTGATAAACCATTAACATTCATTTGTACATTGGATAACCCTAGCTCAACGTACCTAAGTAGATTGATTGGTAATCCAAGGTGGTAATAAGCTATAGTGATGATAAACTCTGGTTCTACATTGTCGCGAGTTCACAGTACACTTCTGACACAGGTAAATCAAGCACTACTTCTCCAAACAGATTCAAAATACAGTGTCAAAGCGGAAAGTGTGGATGAAGATGCGATGGATTTACCCTTGACCAGTAACGCACGAGTCCACAGAGGCAACCTACACGGTGGGTGCTGCTCTACTGTGGATCTAGAGTAGCCTAATCAGCAAAGTTATTATTCCGAAACTAGAGTTGGCGGCCCCGGTTCTAGTTGTAAGGATGTATGAGGTCTTTTAAAATATCTGGCAGGTTTGTTATGCAAGATCTATTTTTAAAACTACTCAATAGTCCGAAATGCCCTAGTACAGTCGAGGGTAGGGAGAGTAATCTCACTATCTCTCTCTGTAATCGTCTATACTGTGATGGTTAGTCTTTGAAAATAAATTACGCTATACACACACTTCGATATTCACACCTGTACGTGATGTAAGGAGACATATGGGGAGGTGTTAGAAGTTCATATAAATTAGTATCCAGTGTTATTCCTCGTATATATAAATGACCTTCCTCGTCTACTATAATCATCAGTCTTGATATACGCTGACAATGTCAAGATATGGAGAGCGATACGAAGTAAGGGTGATAGCTTAGAACTCCAAAATAACCTGGAGAAATTATCTGAATGGTCTCAAACCTGACAGTTGCCAATAAATACTTCAAAGTGTATTGTGATGCATAACGGCCATCAAGGTACAGATGCATACACGATGAATAACACTGAGCTACCTGTTGTCCAGACAAAATGACTTAGGAGTCATCGTCAACCAAGACTTAAAGACTACTGCACACTGTCGTGCAATAGCCACCAGAGGTTTTAGAACTTTATGGTCAATACGTAGGGCCTTTAGTCATGTCGGCGCTAAAACGTTTCTGACTTTGTATACAGTGTTTGTGTGTCCTAAACTTGAGTACTACATACAAGCGGCTAACCCCTACTTAAAAAAAGACATTGAACTTTTGGAAGAGATTCAGAGAACAGCAACTAAGCTGATCACCGGAATAGCAAAGCTCCCGTATGATGCTTGACTGGCCAAGCTAAACCGATCCCTGTTGTCATATTGCAGAACTAAAGGCTGCTTGATTACAGTTTTCAAATCGCTAAGTGATAAATTCGCACCTGATGTGCCTTCATTTTTCTTGTCATCCCAAACAGAGAATTTACGAGGACACTTCAGAAAAGTTCACAAGCCCAGGAAAAATTACTTGTCAGCTGACTATCGAATTTCCCATCGAATCATCAACGAGTGGGATTCATTACCTTAGCACGTGGTTGAGGATCCATCCGTCGACTCTTTCAGAAGAAAGTCGGATCAACTGAGAGACCATCATTGCCAAGACTAACACAGGCCATCAAGCCTCCTGTCCCTACCAAACTGAAACTTGTTCACAATAAGAAACGAACTTATTTAAGAACCTTTATAAACTGCTAGATTTTTCCAGATATCAATCGATGATAAACATACCTGTTACTCAGAACGTGTGACTGGCACTCCAATGTTGATCACATTTGTGTGGACTGTGTCTATAATTCCTGTAAACAAATTTCATGAACCGTTCTTCATCATAAGGTCAAAGGCGTGCAAATTCGGCTTCCCTAGGTAAGTGATTGATGTTCAAGGCATTAGGTAGTCAGAAGGTGGATTATTTAGTGTAGATTTGGGTAAAGGTGCAGTTTTGAGTTTTGATATATCTCGCGATATATATCTTAAAGCGCGCTTTAAGATATTCAGACCAAACGTCTATTCCCATAGAGCACACGCAAATGGAAATATCCTGGTGCAATTCAGCGTAAGTTCACACTAAGTTTTACGGGCATTCGCCTTTATTTCCCGGTTAAGCTCTGTTTGGGCATTGTAACTTAAGTTGAAATACCTGACCAATTGCAAACTAATGTGACGAATCAAAGTAATTTCCCAGACAACCGAAAAAGGGGAAATAAAGCGAACGCGAGCGTAAATAAAGGAAAATGTCGCTTTTTCGACTTTACGTCGGTTATTTAGGGGAAATGTCACTTTTTCCCCCCCACGTCGTGTATTTGGGGGAAATTTTTCGACAATTATACATAACGTACAGTATTTGAATAAACCGCATCCAGAACTTAAGTTTTCATAAACTTCGACGAATTAAGGCACCGCTTAATAAAAAAAGTTACGGAACCAGGCATTCGGTTGAGACGCATATACACTGACTTCGTTCTTTGTTTAGTTAAAGTGTTCAGACATGCTTAGGAGCCATCACAAAAAAACTTACGTGATGCAGGTGAGTGACGTGCTCTCAGATTTTCCTGTTCATTGTGACTGATTGCTTTATTAGGCCAATAATATGAGTTTTGTTGAAATCAGTGAGAATGTTCGTAGACGTAGGGCCACTGTGAACTTGTCACGTTCCCTTGGTTGTCATAGATCCACTTATAACAGAAGGTGGAATAAAATGAGAGCCGCTTTCATGAAAAAATATGACTTTCTTTCGTTCAGTGAGTTTACTAATGAAAGCACCCTAAAAGGTAACTGAGTTCAACAGTGTTGTTTATTAAATTGATAGAAGTAAAGAGATAAATCAGTTGTAATGACAGTACTTCAAGTGTTACACCACCCACTAGCAACATCAATCAAAGGCTTTCAGATAATAGTGGCATATACATTGAATTCATACGGGAATATATATCTTATAGGATGTACTGAAGTGAACTTGTGCTCTCAGAAGTTCGTAAATCGCAAAGAACTGATGAACGACTTTATGATGTATATAATGTCAAATACATATCTGAGCGAAAGAGATGCTGATCGGGTTCTGTATGGTCTACGATTTCTTATCCCGGACATACCGAAAAGCATCAGAGGTGTCCTGAAGACATGTCCAAATGTTCAACCAAAGTTCATCGGCATTGGTGTTTACTACCATCTAGAATTGAAAACCAATCTGCTAAGAAACGTTGAGCTTTGGTTATGTACTATTGATTTTGACTCTTTAAATTTATATATCAATATTGATGGACTTTCTATGTCTAGAAGCTCCAGTCAAAAGTTATGGCCTATACTAGGAAGGATCATTGCCCCTAAGTTTAGTGACGTGTTCATGACAGGGATCTATGGAGGGAATAGTAAACCGGCAGAATTGAACGAATTTTCTGTGGACACAATTTCTGAAATAAAAGAAATGACTGACGTGGGTATGTTTAGTGTTGAGTTTAACAAATGCATAGCTATAAGGTTGGTGGATGTTATATGTGACGCACTTGCTCGTTCTTCTGTTAGGTACACGGTAAGGCAGGTTGCAATAGGTGTACTGTGATTGGGAGATGGCTGGAGGGGAAGACGACCTTTCCAAATGGAGTATATACTTTAAGAACAGACGACACCTTCCGTCGTCAGTCTCAATCTATTCTTTATCAAGCACATTCTATTACGGAAACGCTTTCTATTAACATGATTATAACTTTTCCCTCAGATCCTATGCACATGGTCTACCTTGGTGTTACAAAAAATCTAGCGAATTTATGGATATATTTAGCATGCAGAAGAATGCTGGACTTAAACTCATGTGCAGTTAGGGACATAAATAATTTAATATCAGGTTGCGTGGCAGGTACTCCTACCGACTTTCCGCGTAAATGCCGTACACTAGACTTTGTATCGGGATGGAAAGCTTCGTAATGTAGGTTGTTCCTTCTGAATTTAGGCCCAGTGCAATGATTATTGCAAACAAGTGAGCACTGGATCTGAATAGTAAAATTATTCGAGGACAATTAGTAATTTTAAAAGCACTATATCAAAACACCCGAACACGCGAAAGAAGAAGGTAAAAAGAAACTTCGGGTACGGGAAAAACGTCAGAGCCGTTCGAAGCGATCCGCACTTTCGCTTCGACGACCTTTAAACGCCTGACAATAGGCGGCCATTCCGTATTTCATTCGCCGTGGGTTTGTTGGATTGTATGAGTATCAAGTTTTTCGCATTTAAGTCATCTTTTGCTGCATCAAAAAGCATTTCGGGTGAGTCACAATCAAATCTCTGAACGTCAAATTTGTTCATCATGCAAATGGCTTAAATAGTTGTGGACGGAATAGAAGAAGTTTTTGCTTAACGGGCTTCCGTGTTTAGTAGCACTGGGTCACCAATACCTCCAGACAGGAACCTAGATATTGTGACGGACCAGACAATGTACGAGGTCATTCACTTAAACAACACGTACAGTCGTTTAATGATAAATGTACATACAGTGAAAAATTGGCAAAATAAATACAAATAACGTTAAAAACTATTTACAAAATAAGTTTATCAGGCATATCTTCACAGCATAATAACGATAAAAAAGAGGCAAAAGGTACTATCCTTAGTACTTACATGTAGGTCAAGTTTCATCTTAAAGGACTCCTAGGAAGTCCCTTGGACTAGCTCAACCAGCAGCGAACTCCAGCAGTGGACAACTCTTAAGGAGTCGAAGTTGTGTTTATAGTCTGTTCTGCTGTGTTGTGTCTCCAATTTCTGGGTGTTACCCCATTGGTTTGTGCTAGAGCTAAACCTAAGTAGGTGTTAAAGGGGATGCTGTAAGTCATTATAAGGTCACCTCTAAGACGCTGTTTTATTGTCAATAAGCGACCATACTTCGGTCTTCAGTAATGAGGTTAGTAGGTTGGTGAACCTGCGTTAATTCTGACAGACTGTCTTTCAAAGAAGGTCCAGCTTCTCTTTGAAAACATTCACTGATGGGGCTGATACCACTTGTTCGATCAAGGTGTTCTAGTCATTGACTACTCGATGAGAAGAACGAGACCTCACTTTAAGTTTATTAGATCGCAGTTTGTGAGCCTTCTCGCTATGACTTCGGAGACCATTAGTGCTGGAGGGGGCATAAATATAGGACATACTAACACCGAAGTAATAATTAAAGATACGAAATACCACTATAAGGTCACCTCACGTCCTATGATACGACAAGAGAAAAATGGTTAAGGCGTTTTAAGCGTTTATCGTAAGGGAGTTTAGAAAGACCCTTCATTAATCTTGTTCCCACACGCTGAACACACTCAAGTGAGTTAGTATCATTTGTCACACATGGGACAGCCGCTTGGACACATTACTCTAAATGTGATCTTACATGAGTGGGGTATAAAATTCGAAACATCTCCTCGTCAAAGCATCTGAACGCTCGGCGAAGTGACCAAAACGCACGATAACCTTTGCCAGCAGCTGCGTTTCAATGCGTAGTTGTTTTTAAGTCATGATTTATCATTACTCCTGTGTATTTATGTTCTTGAACGCGTTGAAGAAATGTTCCATCACTAGTATAATGGCAACTATTACTGTGTCTGATGTGCATGAGCATACTCTCCCTAGAATTAACTTCTAAACCCCAACCTCGAGCCCGTCTAACGAACTCGTCTGAGTCAGCTCAGAGATCAAAACGATTAGCCTCACCTCTTATTGTTCTCCAGATTTTGACATCATCCGCAAACAATAATGTCGATGACTTAAGCAATAGCGGTAATTTATTGACGCAGAGATGGAAAAGTAGAGGGCTCATGATGGTGCCTTGGGGTATACCATTTTTAACCGGCTTCCAATCAGACAGCGTCCCACTGACCCTCACTCTCTGTCTGCGGTCATATAAAACGTTTCACAGCACCTGCTATTCCGAAGCTCAAGAGCTTCTATATAAGACCTAAGTGTGGAACGTTGTCAAACGCTTTGCTAAAATATGTGAATATAACATCGACAGACAGACCATCATCTAGGGCTGCTGTCTAATCCTCTTGCAGAAAGTAAGTTAGTCAAGGACGGACGCTTGTTACGAGACCCATGTTGCTTGGGAGTTAACATATTGTGTGAATTTATGTGACTTAGTAACTTAACTCGAATTGTCTTTTCAAGAAACTTAACGACTATGTTGGTTAGACTGACAGGCCGGTGCGATCTAGATACGATCTGTCTCTGACCATCCTTAAACGTAGAACTGGCTATAGCGTCTTTCCAATCTCTAGGGCTTTGGGAGAGTGAAAGAGACATGTTGAAGAACGTCGCGATCGGTCTTGAAATGATGTCCGCAAGAGATGACAGCAGTTGTGAATGAAACCAATCAGGGCCCATTATCTTACAAGAATTGGGGTTAGTTATCAATGGAAGAACAGTTTCCTCAGTCACCTGTACAGATTCAATGGCTGGTATCTCGGTGTGAGAGGGACAAGTATTTGTTACAATGAACGTGGAGCAGACTTCGCTAAAATAGTTGGAATGTGTCTCAGCTTTTACCCCATCTGATTAAGCTAGCAAATCTGAATTTTCATTTAACAGTAACGGGAGATTACCATCACTACACTGTGTTCGCCGCTTAACAATCGTTTTGCATGTGTACGGCCATCATATGCCAACTGTTGTTCATAAATAGTACGGTGTTCAGCTATGGCCTTTTTACAGTTAAAAGCATAATCTCCTTTCTTCGGTATCTTGATGATGTGTCCTTCATTTCAGTCCATCGGCACCTGTTTATCCTCTCAAATCTTTCTGAATAGAAGGTGGAGAGTGTTTTCAGTTACTTCTATGTCTGACTTTAGTGCTTTGGCTGGTATATTGTTACGTTATGCTCCTTTCCACAGTTAGTCTGTCTGATAACCATCTTGATTTCTTCGATCGTTTACGGAGTGACATCTATGGGAAGGCCTGTAAGTGCTGCTTCTACGTACGGTGGATTCAATGTAGCTGGTACATTCAAGAGCTGAACAAAGTATCCTACTTATCTGTTCCCCTGTTCTTGAATCTCAGTGATTGTCGCATCTTCTTTGACCGTGCCTGGTCCTTCTGGCTTATTATATCTTCCTGGTAGTTTCACCGTCATATCACATGATTGCCTCACATTTCCTTCTCTTGCAGCTTTTTCCACCGTCGTTGCTGGCTCTTTCACGTATTTCTGCTTGTCCGCTCTCATACTCTTCTTCACTTGCTTGTTTGCTTCTATGTATTTAGCTTGTGCTTGGTCTTTCTCTGTTCGTGTTCGGCTGTTGTTAATTGCTGCCTTCTTGTTCTTCCTTTCTTTGGTCCTGTCCAGTGTTTTTATAGAGATCCATTCCTTATGATGATGCTTCTTGAGGCCCAGAACCTCTTGAC